GAACAGAGGGGGAGTCAGTCGTCGTACACAGAGTATAAAAGGTGGACTATAGAACATTGATAGCCGGTTAACTACCAATCAGGGGAGATCATAAGAATTTTTCAGAGTCTTGAGGCCTCTTTACACAGAGGTAGGGGACCCCAGCTAGGCGAGGTAACCCGCCCAGCCGTGGTCGAAAAAGAGCCCGCGTTTACAACAACCCCAGGATTCCGAGGTGAAGATTCGCGGGTTTGTTATCGCACTTACAATTAGGGAGTCGAAGATATTATTTCAGCGACGTGTGGTGAATCGTTGCCGAAAAACCGTGATTTATTTTCCAATAAGATTTGGAGCACTTTCAAAGCAGTTATGCGCGACATCGACTCTCGTTTACGATCGATTTGTATATGTAAAAGAAGCATGCAGCTTATATTGAACTACACCGATTACATGTTTGAAACAAAAGGTTCGACGCAATTGATAGCCTGACTGTCCATCGTGAGACAAATAATTAAATATACATTCATTTATCCACAAAATCTTTTTCTACAACAAAAGGATCAACTGTCAGTTACATCTATTGTCACTAACTGTACAAACAAAACCTGTCTCGGTCGCGAGTATGAGTTTTTGGTGACGTCCTTAATCCTAAAAATTACAATTTCCTCGATGGTGATTGGTTAAAAAAAAACCCTATTTTCAACCATTTCACTTGACGTAATGTTATCGGACAGTTTCTTATCGGACAGTTTCAATAAGCCAATCACATTCAAAGTTGTAGTTTGAAAATCAACCAATCACATTCCCTTTGATTGTAATCAATTTCAAAGCTACATGAAACAATTTAAACCTCCTTTGCCAGTCTTTCCATGCAATTTTTCCTTTCTTTCATAACTTGGCTCTCCTTCTTTTCTCAGAAATTGTAATTTTTTTCATTAATTGGTAATAAGACTTCGTGTGGTCCAATTCGGTCTGTAATCATACTCTTGATAAGCAAATCGGACTCCCGCTACGCAGTCGTCCGATTTTGTTATCACTTGTTAGATAACAGACTACTCAGTGCCATTTACCATTACAAAATTTTGATGTGCAACCGTACGATTACACAAGCTTGACACGTGACCGTTCACGTGAAACATCCACAACGAATTTTTGTGACGTATTACCGAGAATTTTTTTCAAATATAGAAAAATAGCGTGTGTAGCGTTAGTTAGCTAATTATAACATTACTGAAGATGAAACTGCGCTGTCTCTGTGATTTCTATTTTATTTACGCCCAAGTATAGCGAGAAAAGGCAGACGAAAGTTCCTATTCCAGAAACTTCGAAAAGAAAGAAAAGAACTTGCTTAATCATGCTATCGAAGTTTCTATAAATAGAGAGATTACGAAATAGTTAGAACTTTCCAGAAGATGCTAGAAAGTTTCAGAACGAGGCTCAACTACTATAAGACCGAAGCCCATGTGCTCGTCAACCGTCACACGGAGTACGTAAGCCGCGGATATCTGAACTAACATTTATTATCTCCTCAGTCAAATTTTTGCACCAAAGATGCCTGGAACCCCAGCTATAGGAATCGATCTTGGTACTACGTACTCGTGCGTTGGTGTAATGCAACATGGAAAGGTTGAAATTATCGCTAATGATCAGGGTAACAGAACAACTCCTAGTTACGTCGCTTTCACCGAAAATGAAAGACTCATCGGAGATGCGGCGAAGAATCAAGTCGCCCTCAACCCCACGAATACAGTGTTCGGTGAGTCTTTTTCGCTAGCGTTTTAGCTAAAATTAAACCTTAGTGCGAGAGAAATATTTTTCATTTTAAAAGTAGAAATGCTTGCGTGGGTAAAACCTAAAGGGGACTTAAGTTCTTTGTGTCCGCCATGTTGGTTTTCAATATGCTTACGAAATCATTTCTGTTCTTTCAGACGCGAAGCGTCTAATCGGCCGAAAGTATGACGAGGAGTCTGTCAGATCGGACCAGAAACACTGGCCTTTCGCGGTGAGTAATATTATCTCCGTGTAAGCTACGCCTGAATTTGTAAAACGTAAATTTGGAGTTTCTTTGGCCTCCTCGAGAAGTAGTTCGATGGTAATTGTTTTCACTTTCACTTTCAGGTAATCAATGATGGTGGTCGACCAAAGATTCAAGTCGAATACAAAGGCGAGAAAAAGTCCTTCTTTGCGGAAGAGGTAAGCGTGTCTTGGGTTCATTCGTTTAAAAGTCACATAGGGATGGTTTTATTCGTATTGCGTAATCTGACTAGTCGTCAACCACGCGCCTTCATCGTGTTCATGTGTAATTTTTTTGTTCTCTCTATTAGATTTCCTCCATGGTTCTGACCAAAATGAAGGAAACTGCAGAGGCTTATCTTGGGTCCAAAGTCACCGATGCAGTTGTCACTGTTCCGGCATATTTCAATGACTCGCAGAGACAAGCCACGAAGGATGCCGGTAAGCTGTCAACACGCAACGGCAATCAACTCCATTTAACCTGTTGGAAGTAGTTGTGCCTTCTTCTCTGATACTACTTTCGTTCCTCTACATTTACGTTTGTTTCCAAGGTTATAAGGAATAGGCTTTTTGGGGGGGGATTAAAATTTTTGAGCATGCGTAGCGGAGATGTACAAAGTTCACCTTCCACGTGTTTCTTCTACTCTCTCATTCTCACCCACACCCTTGTGGCGGTAGAAGAAGCAAATTACGTCACGAGACCGTACGAAGAGATAAATTAACTTAACCCTTAGCTCCTAGATTAGATTTGTAATTCTCTTCACTGTCAACCATACTATACTTATAATGTTAGTTCAGAGAATTTTGTATTGGATCAACTAATTATCCCTAAATTGATGTTTCTTTTATTCTCATCACTTATCTGGTTGATATTGGAAAGAGAAATTCTTTCTTGGTCACTTGTGGGAGTTGAAGGGTTAAGTTAACTAGGCTTAATTTTAAATTCTGAAAATGATGGTTTCTTGGTGTGAAGTTACATTCTTTTAATCAAAAACGTTTCACCAATTTTGAGTGCCTAAAATCTTGAACATAAAATTTCTTCAATGATTGTAAAAGCTTGAATGATTGGCCACCTAACATGTCTTCATTGGAGTTGTGAGGAACCAGATTAAATGTTATGCCTTACAAGTTTTGTCATGATTATCATTTATTTTGTGTAATTTTATTTATTTTCTTATGTTTTTTTTCCTCTTTTTTCCACAAATTTTGCTTGGAATGTTTTTTAAGGTATCTATGTTTCTCCCTGTTGATAACCTTTAGCAAGAGAAACAACAACCAACTTCTGTGTTTTAAACTTATTCCCTGTATTAACTTTTGTAGGAGTCATTGCTGGCCTTAATGTTCTTCGCATAATCAATGAGCCAACTGCTGCCGCCATTGCCTATGGTTTGGACAAGAATGCTGCCAAAAACACAGAGCGTCATGTTCTCATCTTTGATCTTGGTGGAGGTACCTTTGATGTGTCTGTTCTTACAATTGATGATGGCATCTTTGAAGTGAAGTCAACCTGTGGTGATACCCATTTGGGAGGTGAGGACTTTGACAATCGTATGGTTGATTACTTCAAGAAAGAATTCCAGAAGAAATATAAGAAAGATATCTCGGGCAACAAGCGAGCCATGCGACGGTTGAGAACTTCTTGTGAAAGAGCCAAGAGGACCCTCTCTTCAAGTCATCAGGCCAATATTGAAATAGACTCTCTTTATGAGGGCATCGATTTCTATGAGCCATTCAGCCGTGCAAAGTTTGAAAAAGAAAATGGAGACCTTTTCCGCGCAACTTTGACTCCTGTTGAGAAGGCTCTGAAAGATGCAAAGTTGACAAAGGAAAAAATTGATGAGATTGTCTTGGTGGGTGGCTCTACTCGCATTCCCAAAATCCAAGAGTTACTCAAAGATTACTTTGATGGCAAAGAGTTAAACAAGAGCATTAACCCTGATGAAGCTGTAGCTTATGGTGCAGCAGTACAGGCAGCCATCTTGCATGGAGACAAGAGTGAAGCTGTGTCAGACCTGCTGCTTCTGGATGTGGCTCCCTTGTCTCTGGGTATTGAGACTGCTGGAGGTGTTATGACAGCACTCATCCAACGCAACACAACAATCCCAACAAAGAAAAGTCAAGTCTTCACAACATATGCAGACAACCAACCTGCTGTTTTGATCCAAGTGTATGAAGGTGAACGTAGTATGACCAAAGACAATCATCCACTCGGAAAGTTTGAGCTCACTGGCATTCCTCCTGCTCCTCGTGGTGTTCCGCAAATTGAGGTCACATTTGATGTTGATGCCAATGGAATTATGAATGTTTCTGCGGTGGACAAAAGCACTGGAAAAGAAAACAAGATTGTCATCACAAATGACAAAGGTAGATTGTCCAAAGAAGACATAGAGCGCATGGTGAAAGAGGCTGAGAAGTTTAAAGACGATGATGACAAGCAGCGCGACAAAATTCAAGCCAAGAACTCTCTGGAGAGTTATGCTTACAACATGAAGAGTACAATTGAAGATGACAAAGTTAAAGACAAGATCAGTGAAGATGACAAAACGGTTATCTCCGATAAATGCAAAGAAGTCATTGACTGGTTGGATCAAAGTGATGGAGCCTCAAAGGAAGAGTTTGAGAGCAAGCAGAAGGAGCTTGAGAAGGTGTGCAATCCTATCATAACCAAGCTCTACCAGGGTGCAGGTGGAGCACCTGGTGGAATGCCTGGAGGTGGAATGCCTGGAGGACCAGGTGGCTTCCCTGGAGGACCAGGTGCCACACAGCAAGGAGAATCCTCAGGTCCTACCATTGAGGAAGTAGATTAAGTTTGATGAACTTACCTCTCCAACTTTGTTGACAGGATATGTGCACTAGCTTATACTGTTGCGAATTTAACCAGTTAACTGTTTGAGTAACTGTCTTAGCAACAGTAGTTTCATTATACTATGTATCCTGCACATGTAAGAGCCAAAGAATAAAAGGTTTTTATTCAAGAAAGACTGTGCAAGACATTTTTGGGGTCACTGTAAAATTAAAGTTTTTGGCTCATATCTGTTTTCTATGTTTCTTGAGAGCTCTGTATGTGTCCTACACATACACAATGGCACTATAAAATTGTACCACCATTGATCAGCAAAGACAGGCACATCTAAAAACCTTCTGAGTAAGGTACGTTGGCCTATGGAAATTCATCACTTCCAGAGTATATCAGGTTACTGGTAACTCAAGGTCGAATTAGTTGCAAGGAATGATAATAGCAGCATGTAGTGAAAAGTTAGTGTACCCCAGCTATTGCATCATGGAAAATTAATGACAAAGGGTGGTGCTCCTTTATGTGTTGGAAAGACATGTTTAACATCTTGAAGTGGGGCGCATTTAAACGTAATGCTCAGTGAGCAGGTCTCTTTTTGTATGTCACACAGTGCTTCTCCTTGGTATCATATGATCACGTCTAGTAAAGCCCAGTTAAACCAATGTCTACCTAACTATTGAAGATGGACAAATTTCTTGCTTTAGTTGCAATTCTTTCTCAATGTTTCACTCGGATTGCCATGCAAGTGGGTTAACCAGTAATGAGTGATGTGCAACTTCACCCTTGTGTTAATGTCTGACTATATGACTATCCTAAAAAAACAAGTGCACCACACAAGAAAGCAACTTTGAAAAGACAGGAAGAAAATCTGCCCACTCTGTCAAAGGTGTATGATTTTGAGGAGGTTGGTATTCTTAGAAGAGGACCCAGTCACTGTAAAAGATGACCATACATTTATTAAGTTCTGAGTGAGACTAAAGTATCCATAAGAGTTAACCCAACATTCACCTCAATTCCATCCCTTGCACAAAAATTAGTAGTTTGTATATTTTGTGATTACACCTTCGTTCTTTTCATTTTGCTTCGGATTGTTTTATTTTTTTTCTCAGGACAACCCATCATTTCTGAACACAGCTAAGGTATTTTAAATAGCTTGAACAACATCCTCAATGCTGTCTCTTTCATAAAAAGTGTGTTTACTCAATTGAGATCCTTTTGTTTTGTATGTTTTTTATTTTTTTTGCTCAAGAGTCAGTGAACCCTTTCTCTCCTTAGATTTCATTAAAGGTTTGCCTCGCTATCTTTCACACAACTCTTAGGTTATTTTGGATAACTTGACATTGGATCAACAAATAATCCCCTGAATGTTGCTTTTCTTTATTCTTGTCATTTTTCTGCTTCACATTGTGTTGATATTGTAAGGAGAAACTCTGTATTGGTCACTGGCAGAAGTTAAAGAGTTAAGGTTGTAGTAGCTCAAATCATTTTGCTGGGTGTGAGAAAGTGGTCAGCAGGTGTGAGCTTCCTTAGCACTATCTTGACAAGTATAAAGTAATATATTGGAGGATAGATATAAAAGTGCTCAGTTTTCAGGCTGCTACTTTCTGCTAGCTGTCTGCTCTGCTTTTTTCAATCTCTTCTTGAGCTCAAGAGGCATCTTTTCATAGCACTTCTTGCACAGTGGCTGCATGTCAAATTCATGAAATTTGCTCCTGCCAAGAAAAAAGGGATTATCTGAACATGTGGAAAATTGACAACTTCAAGCAATGCCATCCCTCTTGAAATTAAGATTTCTTGCGGCTTTAAAACTCATAAAATTTAAATAGGTGATGTGGCACACACGAGATCAGAGCAAGGAGAGTTGTGATGAGATAGAAAGGCACTTGAAACACAGTTATAGTCCAGTAGTGCAAAAAAAAACAAGCAATTACTCACTTTAGATTTAAAGAGATGTTGCATCCAATGCAAGTGAAATGCTGAACACACCAGCACTTGTGAAGGGCATTTACCACTGCATAATAAAGAAACAAATTCACTAACATGAATTTTAAATTAAAATACTCTGCAAAAACATATACTGTCACTAACAGTTCATTTTGGTTGGTTTGTGTTAGCTGGCATGAGAACAATTTTTTCAATCTGCAAACAAGATCCCTGCCTGGGGTGTGAGAGCTTAAGGTTAAAGTTGAAAATTTGCTGTTCATCATTTTGTTTTGGTGGCTGTAACAACAACCTAATTTCAGAGCAAAATGGCTGTTACCAAGAGAGTTTCACCTTAGCACTACAACAGAATTCCCCAAATCTCAATGTATTTTATCTCTCTTTCTGGAAGGATAATGCTTTGGTTGATTCAGTCTGAGGGCAACTTCAATACTTAACAACAGAACCTAAAGCTTTATAAACATTATACCTCATAGAGGCCTGAATTTTTTTTTCAGGCCTTATTTTCACTATTGCCTAAATAGTGTTCATTACTGCTTTGATATTCATTTCTTAAACTGCAGTTCACACATGGTTTTCATATATTCACAGTCATTGATTATAGGTTCTATTGTCAAGTATTGAAGTTGGCCTCAGACTGAATTAAAAAAACATCATTATGATATTGATAATGGTAATATTATAATAGCAATTATTTCTATTATCATTATCATCATCTTTCCCATCATCATCTTCATTATTATTATTAATATTATTATTATCCTTATTTCCATTGCTATTGTTCCTCACCATCTCCAACAATAGCTTTGTTGCATTCAAAGCATACATCACCAAACAGCTGCAAAAGAAACAGGAAAATGAAGATATCTGAATCTCATAACATCATTAGGTTGTCAAAAGATTAAACCTATTCAATTAATACACTATCCTGGAACTAGTGAGTGTATTACCAAGTTGAAAATTAGTGAGCTTTGTAATGATTCAGTTATATTGAACAAGAGCAAGTGAGGCGACTATATATTTAAGTTAAAAACTTTAAAAAAAAAATTTAAAAAAAGTGATCAATTTATTTTCCACCCACCTCATTGTAGTGAGTTTCACAGTAGGCCAGTCCCTTCCTTTCATAGTAACGATGTCCATAGAAAGGCTTCTCACACTTAGCACACACAAAATGCTTGTAAAAAAAAAAAATTCTCACTTAGCATCCACAAATTTCACCTCTCTCAAAACTTTACTTTTCCAGAGAATAAATTGGACTATAACCAACAAACAAACAAATGTCACTCTTACATGTACCACAGGATATTATGAAAATCCAAGTGATATAACAAGAATAATTTTGATCCCTTGGTCATATATATGGCTGAAAATCTTAAGAGTTTGTTTACCTCAACATGCCATGCTTTTCCAAGGGCATGTACCACACGCTCCTCAACAGGCCGCCTGAGATGAAAAATGTGTCACCAATAATTATTTTAGAAACAATTTTCATATCAACAGTTAACCCTTTAACTCTCAGAAGTAATTAAAATACAACTTTGCCATATGATATCCATACATTTGATTATCCAGCAAACAGGTGATGTGAATACTCAAACTTACAAGCAAGGGTTATCTTGATCAGACAATAAAATTTTCATAACTTATTTACAAGGACAAGGAAATTTGTAGGGTCATTTAAGTTGTTCATTGGTCCAATTTTGTCACTGTGCTTTCTTGCTGTCTTTTTCCCCTGTACCACAGAGTAATCCTAAAGCATGTTTTGCCTGTTCCAATACCCTAATATGGTAAAATGCCATTATCGTGGAATAATAATTCTTGATATTCACCTGTAGGTGGACTATTATACTCAAATTGAAAATTAACTTGAAGGTGACTTGCATTTCATGTATACTTACCTACAAGCACCACAGATTGGTGTCCCCATTTTGTCATGGCATCTCAAACAGTACAACTCTGTGTCTCGCTTGCGACATAGATGGTCCAGCTCTTTGCTGGAAAGATCATTAAGAAAAAAAATGGGGAAAAGAAGCTTTTCAAAGGTGTTTCCTCACTTGCAGAACATTCCTTAAAACTATTATCAAGAAATAATTTCCATCTTTTAAATTCTAAGTTTGAATACTAATTTAAAAAAAAATGATATAGTAATTATCTTGAAAGTCATTAGTTACACCATTGTTAAGTCAGCAGTGTTATCCTTTTCAGTTGGTAACATGTCAAATTTATTTTCTGTAGCACTTCTTACTACAGCTTAAAATTGCTTTAAAAATTCAACAGGTAAAAGGATTGTTCTATCGGTTTGAAAATTTCCTTTACTTGTCGTGCTCAAAATAAGGGAGAACACAAGAGTCACTTTAGAGTGATGCAAAAAGGGGAATTTCTGATTGATTGTCACAAAACCAAAACCAAAGGGTTGATAAGAACACAAAGTAACTACAAGAAAACTGCTTGAAGCCCAGGAAAACACAAGGGACCAGGTCACAAATTATTTTAGTTTTTATAATCTGTTTGGTCGAGAGGATGGCATAACTTTCTGGACCAGTCAAAAAGTGATGTAAAGCAAAACCATTTGAAGCAATCCTGGATTAGTTTCAACACTCCATTTAAAAGTTCTACATATGATAAAAAAAAAACAATCAATATCTTACTTGCATGAGAAGCAGTTGTAATGCCAAGGATGCACAGGCTCACCCATGTACATCAAATGCTGTCCTTCAGGAATGTAAGTACTATTGACCACAGAAACAGTTTTAGTGTCTTCAAATACATTATTATATCTCTCAGTTCCAAGTACATGTGGGCACAAAAGAAAAACGGAAACAGAGTGGATGAACAAACCATCAACAATTCACTGTATACTTACTGACACTTGCGGCACACATATCGTCCCGTTTCTGGAGAAAACAATTTTTTTTTTCACTTTATAAGTAAGTTATAATAAAAGAAATGTCAATGAAATAAAAAAATTAGTTAAACATACATAACAATTTTCATTACAATTATTCTTCAAGGGTAAAAAATGGCAAAGTACTTGGTATAATACCCTGCAAACAAAGTTTACTTTAAATTCTCAAGGAAGGTCAAAAAAAATACACACCATTATAAGTATTTTCTTACTTTTAGTCTTTTCATCTGCATTGCATTTCTTGCACAGTGCCCTAGAGTACAGGAAACAGTATTGGCTTGATGTAAATTGAAAAATTTACCTCTTTAACCCCCCCTACTGGTATTTCTCCTAACAGTCTCACCCCTGAATCAGAAATTAAGGTCATGAGAATATATGAAATGATTGCAAACTCAAAGAAGCTCTTGATTGTTTGACAAATTCTCCTTGTAAATACTATAAGAAATGAATAGAGAACAGCATGGAGAACTTGCATACTGATATTGGGGTGTTAAGGGTTGATATGTGAAAGAGGTGTTTAAGACTTATCACACTGAAAGCTAAGAGACAAACATTTTTAACGTCTAAATTCTTAAGCTGTCATTCAATAGGGCATGTATCCCATCTTGACATAATTTTCTTTTTTTGCATGATAGAGCTACTTTGTGGCTTTCTGACTTGTTTTGATATGACAAACACCCTCCTATACTTGTTTTCATTTGGTTGATTTTGGCCACACTTCTTTGAATTAACATGCACAAAAAAAAATGGTTTTCATTCACAGTATCTTGTAAATACCATGAAAAGGAATTTTTTGATTAAAATGATTTACAATTTTTTTTTTACCATCTTTACTAATGAATTTTACCTTTTTTACACCTCTTTTTCCATACACCCCTCTAATTCCCGAGATCTGATTGTTAATTCTCCCCTTGAAAATTACTTACAAGAACTTGGTATTAGACCATGATGACAACTTTTACCTGATAAGTTTGAGTATTCTCAGTACCTGTTTGCTGAACAGTGTGTGGATATTATCAGAGAGAAGTCAATTGTTATCACTTCTGGGAATTGAAAGATTAAATTCATGTGTGAGAAATATTTGCACTCTTTAAACTCACCTGCCTGCGTTTTTGACAAACCCAGAGTCTGCCAGTCCATCATTACAGATTTCACAACGGAAGCAATCAGGATGCCAGTTAGCTTGCATAGCCTTAATAACACGCCCAACCACAAATTTACCTACAAGGGAAATCTAAATGTTAGGGTGTTCAGTAAGTGAGTCTTAAAAAATTTCACCCCATCACCTCTAAGATATGAAAGCTAGACTCTCCAGACTGATAGAAATACCTAGCTTTGAAGAATATTTTTGAGAATTTGGTTTTAGATCCAGACATTATCATCAAATTGGAAATCTTTTCAATCTCGCTGTTTTCTTACTTGATGGTGTACTTTGAATATGGGTCATTAAAAAGTTGGACACCCTTGGGAGTATCCAGGTTCATAGTCTACCCTCAGTTTTCATAAATCTAGACCTCTCAACCTTGAGTCCTGTGTACTAACCCTTTCACTTCCATGAGTGACCAAGACAGAATTTGTCCTCACAATATTGGTACAATATCAACCAGATAAGAGATGAAAATATAGAAAAATATTAATTTGGGGATAATTTGTTAATCTAATTACTAAATTCTCTGAACTAACATTATAGGAATTGTATGGTTGATAGTAAGGAGAATTACAAATTTGATCTGGGAGTAAAAGGATTAACTGTGTGGCCAATGTGTCTCCCACTCAACAAAATTCTCAGAGTGGCAAGATTTTGATAAGTATCTTATCTAGAAGCAGCAGCTATACTTCATGCTGTAGACAATGCAATTCTGGTAGTATAGGCCACTTTATGACTGTGTGCAGACTTAACCTTGTGTAATTGGGATGGTCCTTAGATGAAAAAAGCTGTTCAGCAGACATTGGGCACACTTACCACACTGTTTGCAACAAGGAGCAAACAAAGTCTGGAAGTCTTCTTCACAATATCTTCGCTCATCATACTAAAATACAAAGCAGAGCCCATGAGATTTCAGAATGAGTTAATTCTCTTCTGACTGACGGCTTTAAATTCATACATGAACTGAGGGTCTAAGTACAGGTTACAGAAAGCCTAGTGGCTTAAGGTGAACTGTAATTCTTCCTTTTTGGCCAACAACCATTAAAAATTGCCTCAACATGCCAAATTGTCAATCCTACATGGCTGGATGTTGAAAATGCATGTTGTGTTTTTTTTAACACCTGATAAGCTTCTTTACCCCTTTCCACCCAAAAATCAGCATGCATATTTTTCATACTGTTCTCTAAACATTTCCTGGGGTGCAGACAAACAAATTAAGAGTATCTTTAGTTGCTGATCATTTCCTTTATTCTCATAACCTTAATGTTTGATCCAGGGGTGATATTGTGAGGAGAAATTAGATGATAACTTCAAAGGGTTAACATGAAAGCAGTCATATATTTTTCAAGTTTCTATTTTAGGCCAGGGTGTATAAATTCCCTCAAAAATAAAACAAAAATTTGCAAAAACTTGCCTCATAAAACAAGCCATCAGGAAATGGCTGGAAGCATTGCACACAACTAGAAAAACAAAGCAAAAAGTGAAAGGTCACATTAAACAAAGCTAGCAAACACTGTTTTTAACTGTTTCTGAAATAATATTACTTTGTATGCAATCAAGTCAACCATTTCCATTCACAAAGTAACATTAATCCTACTTTTGCTTTAGTATAAAATGTGTAGAACACACATTTTGGGTAACTTATCCATGTGGCTATCTTATTTGTTAAAGACTGAGAAATTCATACTTCAATTTCATCTTTACCATGGTCACCACAAGTGAATTTTTTTTCAAATTGCTAGCCACTTGCACAAAATTGGACATGAAACTGATCATTTAAAACTATATGCATGTAAAACATAATGCATGGCTTTAAAACATGTTTTAAATCTTACACCAAGTCCTAAATGAGTGCATGCAATGAAAGAGAGTGAAAAAAGCATATTCTTAATTGACTCTAAGTATCATATTAATATACTTAAGTTAGTCTGACAGTTCATAATTGTCAAATCACAGGCATCCTGAGCTCACATCTCAAGAAAAAGCAAACAACTAATAGGTTGCACACTACGATTGTGACCATTGTCCAAATGGAGGTGGTTTGCACCAAGAGAATCCTTCCAATCTGCAATTTTCTCTCACCCAGGCATGATACAACCAGTTTCGTGTCCATATATCACTAGGTAAGTAAGGTGCATAAACTGAGAGTACCTCCTCTGTTCTAGATAAAATTCACCTTGGACCTGAGCTTCTTCCACAGCCATGTTCACTCTTGACATCAAAAGAATAGGCAGAAAGAGGCAGAATTGGAAATGCTGGTGGGAAACACTTGTTTTAAGTATAATACACAGGGAATTTTAGAATTGAGTCATTTTCCAGGTTGCAGTGATCAGAGATTTTAAACTTTGGATGGAAAAATTGCCAATTTGAAGGATTTTCAAGGTGCAAACTGCCTCTGTGTGAACAATGGTCAAAATCATAGTGTGCAGCCTTGGCTTCATCTCATAGCAGGAATAACAGTGATGGCAAATCAAGCTTAAAACAGCACAGAATGCCAGAAACCACAATGGACACACAAGGAGTGAGTAAGTATTATAAATCTTGCATGTAAAATGTTCCTATTTGGGAATATTTAATGTTGTAAATCCACCATATTTCTTTCCTCATACTATTCCTTATAACGCATTCAAATTCACAACAGTTCCTCTGTTGAGAATTTGAATCCTTTAACACCGCGTCACACAGCACATGAGGCTGTCATGAATTACTCTTGTGCTTTTTCTCAAGACATGAGCGCGGTATGCCTGTGATCAAATTTGGAGGTGTTTGTACACTGTTTAGGGCCCAACTAAGGAACAGCATACAAATAAAATTTACGTGGCCTAAAAAATGACAACAACAACAACAACAACAACAACAAAAACATTCAAATGTATTCAAGAAAAGGTAGTTCTTAGAATTTCAGAGTGACTACTCGACTGTGTAGAATAAATGTCAAACACCAAACTGAATACCCACTGAGATTAGAATTATTGTACAAATGAGGTAACACTGATTGAGTATTCAACCCGGCAATTTTTAATTTCCTTCCCCTTGAATTCACACCTAATTTTTGGGCAGACATGACTTCCGATCGCGAATAAAGGTGGGGTAAATTCCTGTAATTTTTTAAGGCAGCCTTCAGACTAAATGAACCAACAAATCTAACACAAACTAGTTCGAGAAAATGATTTATACTGATTTACAAAATTTCTCTCCGAAAAATTAAGGGTCATTAACACTAAAATGGCTTGAAAGTCAAACCTTATCTATAAAAGAGATTTCGGAACTAAAAACTGAATTTGATTAAATTGAAGCAGTTATCTCTCTAGGTCAGGCAGACGCCCGTGGATTAAAATTGTCTGTTGTAAGTATCACGTCGTCTTTCGAGAAAATAAGAGAAATTTCACAAAGGCAACAGTGTCAATTAATTATTTATCTTAACTTCACAGAAATTAATGACTTACACAAAACAGCGCTCGTGTAGAATTTGACCATTGGAATTTACCATTCGCTCGTCAACCCCAAAACTCTCTTGACAAACCGCACAGATGGCGTTCCCCAGTCCGTAACCCGCTGGCGGTGGCATGTCGTTTTGAACTGGCATTCTTATTAGAAGGCAAGAAGAAAATCCGATCTGACTACCAAATAGTTATCACGAAGGTGAACGAAAGCCCTGAAACTGAGATTCTCACCGGGATTGACAATAACAACGAATGACTGTGGCCTCTCCTTGAAAAGTGAGAAAACTGGGTACTAGCTGAACACAAGCTTCCACTGACGGGGTAGGGACGGTGGGGACAAGATTCCATTTGTTTGCAAGGAGCGTGACCCTCTGTGTGTCACGCCCAGCAACTACGTGTAGAGTAACCGGTGTGGAGGGCAAAATTTTTGACGTTCAAGGTACCCTCAATACTTTGTCTTACTTCCTCTGATGCACAGACAATCTCCGGGCGGGACAGTCAGTTCCTTGGCCATCACAGGTTACTTAATAAAGGATTTCTTGAACAGGGTCAGAGTTTACTACCACAAAGGGAGCAAACCATCTAATGAATCCCGATACTAAATTCAATACCTGATATCACAAAGTATCAGACTCAAGGCAGACGACAAATTAAAATAAATCATTTCACTTTCTTTTTATTCCATAATACTAAATCAGCAACCAATCAATTTGATCCCTGAGAATCATAGTCGTTTTCATATCTATTTGATATATATCCTAAGCTTAAATTCTAAGCATTGACTGACAGTCAGATCATGAGCTGATCAGAAGATATCTTCTCTAAAATAAGCCTTAACGTTGAAAATCTTTCTCATAAATAATCTTTTCAACTTCTTTTGCCTTCATTATGAGGCTGTGCTACTAACAATATTGTCTAGCCCCTCCCTTCCCTCCCCCCTTCCCTTTCCCCCTTTCCCCCACGATCATTTGTTTCATTTTAGCGTCAACACTGAGTCTCCAAACATCATTAATGTGCGGCAAAATTAGTTTAAAAGAAGCCTCTACTCTCTATCCCCTCTTCCATTTTCTAGCGAAGGGGCGTAATTTTGTTTTATATTGTATTAGTGGAGCGGACACAAAAACGAGGAAAGCTCATTAGGGTAGGTCAAGCGAGGGAGCGCAGAAAACAACTCTGGAACGGAGTGAAAAATGATGACGGGTGCCATTTCTTGCGTTCTTGCGCTCCTTCGCGCTCACGTCGCGCTTCCTCAGCTCGCCTGCAAAACGCAAGAGAAAAGGAATATGACACCTGCTATTTCATAAGCACTCTCAAGCGCTCTTAATTAGTCAAGTTTCCTCTGATTGGTTAAAAACAAGGGTATTCAATCGATCAATTAGAGTAAAAGAAATTACCTCAAAAAGTCATTGAAAACTCAGAATAAACACATGTTAAGAACTTCACACTAAGGAAAACACGAGTGATCATGGCCTGGTCGTGACTGATTCTGATTCGTTGAGCGACTGGCGTGAGTCTTCTGACTGATGGCAGAATGAAGGTAACGGAGCAAAACATCCCCCACAACTTTTGACATTCAATCAAAAATTTGCTCCATAGCATTGTTACAATGAATCATATTCTCACTAGAACTAGCCTCCTCTTGAGCCGTTGTTTAGGATATCCCCCAACGCTTCCCAATCAAGAAGTGGCTACTCCATTCCATACCCCATATAGGCCAGTCATAGAGGACACCTCATGCAAAATTCGTCCATTTCCAGGGGTGGACGCTGCGTGACATCCCAAACAACAGCTGTGAAGGAGAGTAATCTGAAATGTACGTTCAATAAACATGCAAAATGGATTGACTCTTTTCAATACTCAAACGGGGTGTCCGGTTCATTTATCAACTTCTTCCAGAACATAAGCGAAGCCAGTCTTCCGCTCTGCGGAATGCATGTCGGAAAGACGGTTAGCATGGTACCGAGGTAGTTATATCCAGGTCCCACATAGTGATACTCGCTCAGGTAGCCACAGGCGTCATGAGTTGCAGTGTGATACAGAATAGCATCTATTTCTTCTTTCTCTTTCCCCGTGATTCGATAATGTTTGTTGTTTGGGTTTGCGAGTTCTGTCCTACCTCCTGAAAGTCACAAGAAAAATTTAACATTCGCATGATTTACATGGGGTAAATCAGGGAAGAGGGAAATTATTTTAATTTTGTGGGGATCAAAACCTTCTGAGGCTCGTAAGAGGGGTCACTTTTTTCAACTTTACTTTCGGCCAGATTTACTTTCAACCTTACCCTAACCTAACCCTAACCCTAAGCAATTCCATCGTTATTTCGGCGGTGAAAAGAATTGTGCTTCTTCATTGTACACTTCAAAAAAATCTTTGCTACAAGAAATTTCATTTTTGAAAATATTGCTAATGAACGCAGAAAACAGTAAGCCCGCACATTGCAAAAAATATATTTGAGGGATGCTAAACATAGAAGCCTCCATTTGGCTCGAAAACATTCTCGTATATTTGTCTCTGATCTGTTCTTCGAAGCTCACAGTTTTCGCTTTTGTACGCTTCTCTGAACAGACAATGTTCGCGGATAAACATGCGACCATGAAGGCTATTTTTTATTGATTAATTGGCTGTAAAAGGCTCTCCATGGATACAATTTTATTGATTTGGTTTAAGAAAAAAAAAACCGTGAAAAAAAAAAATTCCAGGTTAAACAAGCAAACATCAATTATGAGCCACGGTCTCAGTAGGGCCTCGAAAGAAATTGCAAATAGAGGAGGGCGTGTCCGGATAAAGCATGAAGCAAATAGTTTCACACGAACCTGCAGGATGCAAAAGAACACCGAACACTGGGTCAAGGCCACCGAGCGTGTCTGCAATGATCTCTCCACATCTCAACTGCTGTTTGGTTCCCCAGTACCAATCGTCATCACGTAAAACAGCTAAGGGCTTCTTGTTATTGTGAATGCACTGGAAACACTGCTGTTCTTGAATATTATTCTCCATGTCCTCTCGCTGTCCGCGAATGAGCAAAAGCCTCTTGTAGTCTGTCATCATTTTTGTTTCGTAGAAACCAGGTCTGCCCTTCGTACGAAGCTTGACGACTTCCTTAAGAGTGCTTTCTGCCTCTGAAGAAAGTCCTTTACCATTCTCCACAAGATTGTAAAGCTTCCTCAAATGTTTACCAAGGCTCTGAATTTCTTCATTTCTTGTAGCTACACTCGCTCTCCTGTCGCTAAAAGACGAGTAGAAGAGCTCTCTCAGATAACTTTCCCTTTGTTCCTTTGAGAGATACGAATGCATTTAAGTACACAAAACCGCGACAGCACTCTCAGCTCCAAAAGTGTGGCAAGTCGGTACATCAAAGTTCTTCATAACACACTTGGTAGTTCTACACTTCTATTCCATATTCATTGAAATGTTGTTCCCGAAAATGTTGTCAAGAAAAATTGCCAATATTTTGACATCTGCTTACGTCAACACGCGTCTTGTCCTGCAATTTGGTAATTTTGCAGGTGGTGAAATATTTTGCGGTTCCTGAATGGCCGTCGTTTGAAATTTTGCCATAATTCCTTTCTAGTAAGGGACTTGGTAACCAGTCAGAATTTGTCTTGACAGAAAACAAGTCATTAATCATGAATAAACCTGTTGTGGGTGGTTATCAGTAAAAGAGAGATGAAGTGTCTTCTCACGTGCGTCATTAGCTCGACAAATAAACTTTTTTTTTCGAGTAAATAAACTGGTATAGTGCTATTCTTTCTCAGACCTTGTCGGCTTCGAAACCGGTCATTTTGGCGCCTTTTGTGTCTTTTTTATTTTGTAAGCTTGCTCGATATTATTTTTTCTCATAACTTATTAGCAACTTAAGGAGTCAACAATTACGCTCTCAAGAATAGGCGAGATACCAATCAATGCAAGTCTTGAAATTCCAAATGAAACGTTGCCGAGTGTTGCAATCACTTGCAGCCATGGGCATCGAAAATTGATTAATGCAATAGGCTAGGAAAACTTAAATTACCTGTGAAGCGTTCCTAAAGTAATACTTTTTCTCACGAGTTGCGAGAAAATCTTCCAATTTACAAGCTTGACAAAGTACTAAAAAGTTTATACCCTGTACTTTTAATTACAACTCATCCCTTTTAGACACGGTAGATCTGATATGAGTCGTGCGGGTTAATGGTTTGCTTATCGACTGGATATTCCCTTTTATGCGATAAGCTCAATGATAAACGCGTTTTGGTGACTTCTTACTCATGATCTATTGGAGGACAGACGCAAAGATGACGTCACCATCGACTGTGTTTTGCTTTTTTGTATCATATAAAACAAATCGATTCAATGTTCCCGTGGGTCTGTACAGAAAAAGATCACAGAAGACTTCAAAATGTTGTAAGAAGATCAGTGACACACTTGACTGCGCCTCGTGTCCCCCTCCCCCCTCCCCCCTCCGCACCGTGTCCCCAACATTGAGCGAGCACCGGATCCTAGGAACGCTTGAGCGATACCAATAACTCCCTCGATTCTAATCTGTCCAATAGCACCGTGACAACAGCTAAGTACCACCAGTTAAGCTGGCAGCTTAACTTGTGAAATGTCCGCCATCGTCTAATGGTAGTCCTCTTCAGGAGGAATGCAGCTCGTTGGGATCTTAGGAGAAAGAGCAATCTCTCCTCTATCGGTACCACCATGGGCAGCAATATGTATCAGGCTCACTGAACTTACCCCTTGAAGTACATCCTGCTTTGTTGCGCAGTCTCCAATCAACGATATCACGCCAAGAAAAGCCTTCGAAGCATCTTCGTTTCCCCTTTTGCACATGGCAATGGTGTTATGTTTTTGCGTCTTTCCTAGTAAATCACCTCTCCAACCACAGGGTCACCCATTATCAGTGCATTAGTGTGACTGTGATATTCAGGGGAACTGTCTAGGACGAGCTTGAGAGTGGTCAGAGATGGAACGATACGAAGCCCGAATGCCTCTGATAAATATTCGCCTCCTTTGTCGCTCAGAGCCGCGAATGTTATCTGGTACAGACAGGAATCAGGGACAATTATAATCTTGGGCTCCGTCAGTAGTTCGGCCACAGGAGCAATCAATATCTTGTAACACAGGTGAAGATTTGTTCTGGACTGTTCGGTACCATCGTCACGAAAGACCGCTCACTGGTTTTCATAACAAAGTGAAATCGATTCTAGGTCATCTAGGGATCGATCTCCGCAATTCTGTTTGGGTAAAAATTCTAAGGCTGCGGAAGCTTTCTTTCAAATACTCATCTAGGTCAGGGACGAATCCTTTCACCACGTTTTTGTCCAGGCTCACAGTCTTTTTCAATAAGTGGATACCTCCTGTTGCTTTGAGAATCCAGAACCGAACATCCTCTTCTCCATCGGAGATGTAGAGGCAGGTAGAGTCAGTTCCTTTGCGACAATATTTTGAATCCCACACCATGATTGTGGATCGCCTGAGGGCTGCTCCTCAACGGGGTCTCAACAGAGTACAGAGCTGCAATCAAGTCATGTCAAGTCGCTTAGGCCTCCTGCCCGTCCCAGGACCTTTCAGGGACGTTAAGCAAACCAGCAAAGTGTACGTGATGTCAACGAAGACGTGGCAAAATAATAGATCTAATGGGCAGGACAATGGCTTAGCACGTGATTTTTTTAAAACCTAGTACGTTTCTTAGCCGTCCTTTGCCAAACAACAACATGAAATTACCAAAATTTGCGCTGAGAACGGGAACCCCGACAGCAAATTATGTAAGTTTCCATTTGGAAGTCAATGCTGCTCACATACATTTTGCAATCTTTCACCCGTTAGAATACGTTTTTCACGTGATCGAAACGTATGTCAGTAAATACATTTTATTCTCACTGAAACATGTAACCTGGATATCAGTGATGTGTTTCTCGTTTTTAAATTTAGTTAAATACCGCAAGCCTATGGAGCCCGCAGTATTCGATAAAGTTTTAAACCAATCAGATAACAGTATTTCAAGTCGTGAAACTCAAAATGGCTGTACTTCTATTAAGTTTGGCTTGTGTACTCAACGGAATGATATCCAGAAAGTGCTAACCGAGTAGAGCATACAGATTGTTTTGTTAGTCAAGATATGTTCAAAACATCAACAGGCACAAGAAAAATTGACTATACACCGCGATACTTTTATTCTTTCGCATTAAACCAGCAATGATACGACACGGAGCTAGATTCTTTGGATTATGACGTGACGTTTGGTCCATTTTGTTCTTTGTGTGGTTGATTGTGAGAAAAATACTGCGGTTCTGTTACTAATCTACAAGTAGTATCATACGAAATCGGATGAAAATTATACGAAAGTTTGAGGTCAAAAGAATATGAGCAAGACAAGCTCCAAGGGGTAAGTTTCCACTTTTTGCAACATTCAATGAAATTGTTTTCCTTGTCCGAACGAGTAATTGTGTTGTGAAAACGTCTGGCCAAATTTTATTTTAGGAGCAGTGCAAGGATAGGCACTTTACTAGAGCAACTACAAAAGCTGTGTCTCGCAGGTTCCGAGGCCAAGTATGATCAAGAGAAGCTTGATGTCGAACAATTGCGTTACGTTACGAATAAAATTCAGCAACTTTTGTCTTCTCAAGGTAACGGTTACAGTTATGTAATTTAGCATCGTGTTACCAAGCACAGAAATAAAGGTATACTAAATTTTCAAAGACTTATTTTTCTCCACGTTACCAGCATGCTCTCAGTCAGTTAGATAGTACTGAACGTTAATTGCTCACAATAAGGCGAATTGTCTTTATGGAACAGTTCTGCTGTAAATATAGTAAGATTATTTTTTTACAATCAATCCTGCATTACTTAAAAGTTGTTGTACGAATTAATTTTTATTTAACGGTTTTTTTTTCAAACATCTTTTACCATTTATGCATTGCAATAAATGAGGGAAAAATCAAAATTGTGCTAGCTTGGAAAATTTAAATAAATTTGAACCACACTTTGCATTTCTGACAATGGCAATAAGCATGTAACAACTTTTTGATAAACACTTTTGCAGAAAAATGCCGCAAGGATCTGACGACAAAATTTAGAGATGGACTGTCAACACTGCTTTTAATTCTAGAGGTAAAGCTCTTTCATTAGAAACTTTAATCTTAAACATCTCAGTTTGTGGATCAAGTTTAATTTAGGAAAATCTTTTGTTTCTTGTAGATGTCAGCAGATACACAACTCATGCTGAACATTTTGGGTTGTCTGTGCGAACTGTTAACCACAGGTATCTGTGTTTTAACCCTTTACACTCTAATGTCAGTATGCATTTTCTCCATACTGTTCTTTATATATTTCCTAAGGTGCTGATAAGGAGAATTTGTTGAACAGTCTAGAACTTCTTTTGTTGGCCAGGCTGTCATTTCCTTTTTTCTTTTAACCTCGATGTGTTATTTTGGGAAGAGAAATTAGATGCTAGTCACTCTTAGGGGTTGTAAGGTTAACCATTCATAATGAGTTGAAGTGCGAAAGTTGTAGAAAGGGGGTAGGTTTCCAAAGAAACAATGGAGCTATGTGGATGGGAGAGTATAACAACAAATGGAATGCTGCTCTGATGAAGGGCTAATGCTCAAAACGTTAGCTTTAAAACTCTTTATGGTGGCTAACCATAAACCCTTTAAATCCCAAGATCTGATTGTTAATTCTCCCCTCCAGCTGCTTAACATTTCCTTGTAAATTAGTTATGAGAACTTGGTGCTAGATCAAGATAGCAGCTTCTAGCTGATAAGTTTGAATATTCTCATTACTTTTTTGCTGATTAATGAATGGATATAATAGGGAGAAGTTTTATGTTGATCACTTCTGGGAGTTAAAGGGTTAAAGGGTTAAAACTCAGTTGGTAATACTAAATTACTCTGAGAGTTGTAGAGTTTGACTGATACTAAATGACAGGGTGTTAACAATTACCTGCACCATACAAATGACTTATTCACTGCATTTACTCTGAAGAGGACCAAAACAGAATTTCCTAATATTACAGATAGATTGAAACTTAAACCAATCAGGACCCACTCACCAGACTTTAGTCTTACAGCTGATAACATTATGGCTAATCTGACCAATCAGTCTATATAAACTAGACTTATAACACTCAACTGACAACAACAACTCTTCACTGGACTCTAAGATGACTTTTGCTAAGGTTTTCAAAATATCAGTCACCACTACCAACAAAAGTCCTTATAAGGATTACAGTCACCTGGACAATCAGATTACATAAACAAATGTTACCTGCTGGTTAAAACCATTTACTGTGCTACGGCTACTATGAAAGGAAGTCATGTAACTAGGCATAATTTGTAGACTATGATGATTTTGAAAACTAGAGTAGAAATAAAGATCACGATAGGGAAACATCTAAAATATAACTATCATGGCTAATTTTGCTCAGTGGGTGATGTGGTGCATATGATAAACAAAATATATGATATGAAAAAA